CTGTCCTTGTCCCTAAGTAGGGTTGTAAGATTTTACATGATCCTGGTACCTAAGGTGGGGGGTGGGGGTCTTTTGGGGGCTTACCTCCATCATCAAACAGCCACCACACATCGATGGAACCTTTTCCTTGCTTCTTTTTAAACTGAACGCTAGCTTCAAGCATCCGTTGATTGAATTCCCCAACGTGTACTGAAGAGATGGTGCTAATGCTGCAATCTGAAAGGAGAGAGATGAGCTGATAAGTTAGCTTTAGTTATAGTGTAGACATCTTTTGTTTCGGTTACGTGAATAATGCTATAGGCTTCAATGGATAATTGGAACTGCAGGAAAAAAAATTGCTACCAACCTGCCTTCCATTGAGGACCTGTACACTGCACGAGTCAAAAAGAGGGCTGTGAAAATAACTACAGACCCCTCACATCCTGGACATAAATTGTTTCAACTCCTACTCTCAAAACGACACTATAGGGCACTGCAAGCCAGAACAACTAGACACAATGACACATTTTTCCCCAATGCCATCACTGATTAACAACTAATTCCCACAACACTGTCAAATAATTTACTAAGACTGTATTACTATTTACGAAGACACTTACTATTCTTCTCTACCTTACTAGTATCAATCTCTTCCAACTTATGACTATAACCAATATTTCCCAGTTTGTTTCTCTATGAAAACATCCCATCACCAATGTGCATAAAATTTGCAAATCTGTATTCTTTTGCTGAACTGCTTCCTCTTCTTTGATCGTCTATGCCAGCTTTGGGTTTCCATCAATCTGCTTTTTAAGCTGCTTCTAGAATATCGTTGATTTTGTTACAATAGACGAATGTGACTTTGAATAGCAGTCTGTTCTCGAAGCAGCTCCTCAGGAAAAGAAAAAAGCTTACAGGCAGGTCTTATGCATGCATTATTTTTAAGCATATACCTTTTGGGGGCATCGTCTTTGCAAAATGGAGCTTCTTGGCTCTTCTGAAGAATCTACGAAGGCCATAATTTTGTTCTTCAAATTCGTTATCTTTAAGAGCTGCTTCCAGGGCTTGTCTCTCCTGCTCCATCTTCTTCAGCTCCCCTGTGAGCCAAAAGAAAAACCGGTGGGAGTGACTATTTAGGAATTGTCCAAGAAAAACAAGAATAGGAATCAATTACTGTTCTATCCCCGATATCAGCTTTTCTGTTTCCTTTTCGCCTGTTAATGATTGCCTCCTGTCAGACACCCTCGAATGAAGACGCCACTGCTTCTTCAGCATTTTTTTTATTCTGTAATGAATTTCTGCCTCAGAACATCCATAAATGCATTTTTAGATTGAAAACATGCATGCACCGGGCACAAATATTTGACTTCTGCAGTTTGTTTCATGGTATTTTGGCAACAGTGGGAATATCAATTGTGTGGACACACACACACAAAAATGACAGCAGGTGGCAGCAGAGGGTTACAATTTTTCTTTTATGACAGCTACACCAAACATTGATTTTAAGCAAAAACAAAGTCATAAATACATACTTAATAGCCTGGTCTATACATGGCATTAAGAATAGGCTTGAGTTTGTCTAATTATGTTTTGCCTGAACATCTGGATTTGCCTTAGGTACATTTTTTTTGTTTTGTTAATAAACCTCAACTGGGAACTTTAGCTTGAAAATAGTTTATGAATTCTGGTTTCCCTTTAGCTAAGGTTTGACATATCTGAAGTAGAAATCTTATTCTTCGTTCATTTGGTAAAAGTCAAATTCTATTTAAACATTTTAAAGCAAGAACAGCATAGAAAATGACCTATTCCATAAGCAAAGTTTCATTTTGCTGTTCCCCCTTCCCCCATTTAATTCCTCCTGGTAATAGTTTTTTTTCTTCAAACCAGCTGCAGAAAGGACATGATAGCGATGGGAATATGTTTGTCAAATAGTGGATTGCACATAATTCCTCGGCTAGCATGTTCAATAGTAGAGGGAATCAAGACATAAAGGTTAGGATCAGCTCTTGGGAGGGAGCCAGAAAACTAACTGGCAGCTACAGGAGCTCACACACCACAGGTGGCATTCTGCTTCTACCTATTAGCAGAATTGCATTCTCTACCAACTATATCAGAACTATTTCAAACTTGGCAGTGTTAAGATGTCTGGATTGCCACTCTCAGAATTCTTCCACCATCCTTTTCAAGGAAGAAATTTGTATCCACGTGTTTATAAATTATTAGGGGAATATTTTTGTTCCCAGAAAGCATAATCAACATAAGAAATGGCCTGAAATTGACATACCTTGAACTTGAAGGATTTGCGATATATCAAACCCTTGACTCGTTCGAACAATTATCACGCCAAATTCAAAGTCGAATGCATCGCTGGAATAAAGTTTACATTAAAATAAAACTTATTTAAAAAGTATTGGTACACCTGCATTGAAATAGTAACATTTACTATAAAGCCATGATTGTTAAGTAAACTTTAACTTGAACCAAGGTGGTATTCAGCAGGTTCTGACCAGTTCTGGAGAACCAGTAGTGGAAATTTTGAGTAGTTCAGACAACTGGTAAATACCACCTCTGACTGGTCCCACCCCCAACTATTCTCTGTCTCCCGAGTCCCAGCTGTTTGGGAGCAAATGGGGATTTTGCAGTAACCTTCCTCTAGAGTCAGGAAGGAATGGAGATTTTACAGTATCCTTCCCCTGCCACACCCACCAAGCCACGGCCACAGAACCGGTAGTAAAAAAAAATTGAATCCCACCACTGACTTGAATCGAACTTATGACAATAAGAACAATGCAGGCAGTGTCTGCTTCAAAAATGTTTACAAAGACATACTTTGAACCTGCAAGGAAGTCTGGAAAAAAAATACTGGCTGCCTTAATGATGTAATGCAAGGTACTGTTTCAAGAAATTGGAAATATTTCTAAATCATTTTCAAACTGTGTACACTTCTAGAACATATTGTAGTCTTTTCTTGCATATAAGCATTATTTTGTTTCATGAGCTTTGTTGTTGTTGTTAGTTGCGAAGTCGTGTCCGACCCATCACAACCCCATGGACAATGTTCCTCCAGGCCTTCCTGTCCCCTACCAATCTTTGGAGTCCACTTAAGCTCACGCCTACTGCTTCAGTGACTCCATCCAGCCACCTCATTCTCTGTTATCCCATTCTTCTTTTGCCCTCAACCGTTCCCAGCATGAGGCTCTTCTCCAGTGAGTCATGAGCATAGAAAGGAATAATGACCATCTTCGTCTTCAAGATGTTTGGAATCTTGAATTGCAAGTTCAAAAATAATTTTGTAAATCAGCCCCCTTTTTTTTACAAAAACAAGCTGTTTACAGATGCTTCTAATTCCTAACAGCATAATATCACTCTGTCAAGGACCGAGGAGTAGTCATCTCAAACGATCTAAGCCCCAGAGCCCACTGTGACAGCATTGCCAAAAAGGCATTAAGAGTTGTTAACCTAATTTTGCGAAGCTTTTTCTCCGGTAACACTGTATTGCTAACAAGGGCATACAAAACCTTTGCCAGGCCAATCCTCGAATACAGCTCATCTGCCTGGAATCCACACTGTATATTAGACATTAATACAATTGAGTGAGCCCAGAGGTATTTCACGAGAAGAGAACTCCACTCCTCTGCTCACAATAGAATCCCTTATGCCACTAGGCTTGAAATGTTGGGCTTGGACAATCTGGAACTACACCGCCTACAGTCTGACCTAAGCATAGTACACAAAATTGTCTGCTACAACGTCCTACCTGTCAATGACTACTTCAGCTTCAACCTCAATAATACATGGGCAAACAACAGATACAAACTCAAAGTAAACAGCTCCAAGCACGATTGCAGAAAATACGACTTCAGCAAGAGAGTGGTCAACATCTGGAATGCTCTACCTGACTCCGTTGTTACTTCCTCAAACTCTCACAGCTTCTACCTTAAACTGTCTACCGTGGACCTCACCTCATTCCTAAGAGGTCTAAAAGGGGGCGTGCATAAGCGCACCAGCGTGCCTACCGTCCCTCTCCTACTGTCCCCATTTATTTGTACTCATTTCATGTGCTCACGTCCATGTTTATTTATACTTATACCTGTTATGTCCTACATGTTTGACAAGCTAAATAAATAAAATGAAACAAATGCAAATAAGTATACTTCCAAATTCATACTTACTGTATGGCACCTGTGTAATTTTCAACTTGCATGGCGGTGGCATGTCTCCAATCTTTTTTAAACCCAAGCACCAAAGTGTTAGGCTTCATTCTTCCCAAACCAGAGGCCTGCAAGTATAAAATATAATGTTGAAAACAAGGCATGTGCAAGGTTTATCTAAAATCAGAAGTGATGCCGAAATATTATGGGAGTACAGTGATGTTCCGGAGGGAATTAAGATTAAAATCTATCTGGCAAGTGTCCTTTATGCTTGTACCCAAGCAGCACATATAAAGATTAGTTCTAAAATCATCTCAGCTATAAAATGATTTTTAAACGGCAAGAAATGTAATTGACTAGAGTTCAATCCATTTGCATTCCTTTGGATTCAAAAAAATCAAACTTTTGAAAATTAGATCAACATAATTTTAAGGCTACTGGTTGAGAGGTTGTTTTTTAACACCATCGAGCCAAGGTGGCGCAGTGGGTAGAGTGCAGTACTGCAGGCCACTTCAGCTGACTGCTAGTTCAGCAGTTCAGCAGTTCAAATCTCACCGGCTCAGGGTTGACTCAGCCTTCCATCCTTCCGAGGTGGGTAAAATGAGGACCCGGATTGTTGGGGGCGATAAGCTGAAGTAGTCATTGACAGGTAGGACGTNTTCTATTCTTTTTCTATATTTTATTCTATTCTTATTCCTATTCTATTCTATTCATGTTTCTTTTTCTCTTTGCAGTGCAGGGATTTGTTCTGTTCCCAGAATCCACCCCCAAGTCTTGCTGTATATCGGTGTCTAGAGAAGAAGAAAAATCCAGACGGTGGCATTACTCACAGGGTTTTTGTTTCAGCTATTAATGTCAGAGCTTGAGCAACTCTTGGCTTTCATCTTCTCTGCCAAACCACAAACTTTCTTCTCTTTGATTTCAAACCTTGGGGGAGATGGGAATTCACACCGCAAATATTTTATGTATCTCTATAGTTTGGGGGATTGCGTTGTTTTTACCTGCTGTGGCTCTGTCTCAAAGGAGGCCCACAGCTGTTTGCCCATCAGCTTAGAATGCAGAAGAACAGAGTTGGAAGGGACCTTGGAGGTCTTCTAGTCCAACCCCCAAGCAGGAGACCCTATACCATTTTGAACAAATGTTGCCCAATCTTTTCTTTAAAACTTCCAGTGATGGAGCACCCACAACTCCTAGAGGCAAGTTGTTCCACTGATTATTGTTCTAACTCTCAGGAACTTTCTCCTCAGTTCTAAGTTGCTTCTCTCCTTGATTAGTTTCCCTCCATTGCTTTTTGTTCTGCCTTCAGGTGCATTGGAGAATAGCTTGACCCATTCTTCTTTGAGGCATCCTCTGAAATATTGGAACATTGCTGCCTAAATGAGGTAAGCTAAATGATAGAATACAGAAGAACAGAGTTGGAAGGGACCTTGGAGGTCTTCTAGTCCAACCCCCGACTTGGGCAGGAGGCCTAATACCATCCCAGTCAAATGACTGTCCAATCTTTTCTTGAAACCCTCCAGTGATGAACCATCCACAACTTCTGGAAGCAAGCCACTGTTCTCACTGTCAGAAAATTTCTTCTTCAGGACTCCTAGAATTTTTCCTTACTTCTAGGTCAGATCTCTCTTTCATAAGCTTTGATAAACATGTCCCAAAGGTGCTTTAATGACCTTCTATATCTATCTATCTATCTATCTATCTATCTATCTATCTATCTATCTATCTATCTATCTATCTATCTATCTATCTATCTATCTAT